ACATCTAAACCTTTGGAAATATATTAACGAATCAACATGTGTTATGCCCCTACACGATAAACTTTGGTTTTGCTATCATCTATACCCGCGATAGTTTGCAGATCGGATCGGTATCCTCAATTGTTTTTGGTCACCGGAACGTTCTTTGTTCTCAGCCTCCATTTAAACTAATCGTTGCTCGTCGTTAGTCAGTCAATGGTGTACGTTAGTCGTAGACCATCTCAAACGAGCAAAACGAGGTACTTTAGCTGGGACTGATTTAAGGTCCTCATTATCGAGCTATTATACGATACGAAAGGTAGAAACGATACAATCGCATTTTGGGTTGACAGCTCTGAATGGGTCGAGTTGAGTTTCCCGTTCGTTGCCTTCGCAACGGAGTATTAGTGACATCACCGGTGTGTGTATAAAAGAGTAATGCAAAGAGGAGGAAGAAAAGTAAGTAAACAAACAAACCAACTAGAAAAGTTTGAAAACGAAATCGATGAAAAAATTGAAATCTGTTAACCAAAAATATAAAACAAAATTTAATAAACTGACTTACATATATTACTGTTTATTTACTATTATTTAATAGGTGCCTGCATGTATTCTGATCGTTTTGTCACTTGAAAAAGACATTCATTGGAAAAAATTGGTACAATAGGTGTATTAGTAGTCAAACCACTTTCGATCACCTTCCCATCTTGTTGCCAATATGGCGATATCGTGTCGAAAGAATGATGCTTTGACGGCTATTTTCGCCCTTTTTCAACATTTCGTAATCACGTTAGCCACGTAAGCCACGCAGCATCGGTCTGAACAAGTGGTAATCAGAAGGCGCTATACCCAGTGAACGGCAACAGTATTATGCTCTGCGCGTTTTGACCACTCTAGCTGGACATTTTCGCAAATATACATCGTTCAATTTGTTCAATTGACGACAGTACATATCTGCAGAGACAGTTTGATTGAATTCTTCGCAGCTCGTAATACACTGTCATTTGCTGATCCCACACACAGCAAAACTTTATGACAAAGAATGTTCCGCTCCGGTATTGATGTGGATAGCTCTCCTGGACAAACCATTAACGTGGAATTGTCGTAAGAGGTCCAGTTTTCGCCCGGCAACCAATGAAACCGCGATGGGCAAAAAGGTTCGAATTGTCATTTTTAGTCAATTCGTATGGTAACTATTTTCCCTCTTTATGGATCTTTCCCATCGCATATAAACGTCTAGGAACAGTTGATCTATCAACTGGTACGTTGTTCGAAAATTCTTTGAAGGCTGAAACTGGATTTTCATCCATTAAGTCTTTCACATGATTGTCTTCGAACTTTTTTAGTCCTCCAAAAGAGGGGTTTCGGCCGCAGAGTTCCTCAAATCAAATGCAATTTAGAGCGTTCCTTGATTAGCGTCTTTATATAAGCTGACAAACACAATAATGCTAAATGGCAAACTATTATTTTATATAGAGAAAGGTGAAAATTATCGAATTTAATCGTTATGCATTAATTCATCATTTTCACCAATAGATGTCGCTGACTAAAATACATGCAAGTACCTAATATAACATTCGTATTAAATTTGTCTCTCCATACACTGCCTAAAAAAAGGGTTCAACCATCAAATTTCCAAAATACTTTTTAAATAGTTTTTAGTGATCCTCTATGTCCACTACTTGTCGTTTTTTAGAAATTTTTTTCATTAATTCCGTAATCATTTATCCCTTTCCATATTTTACAACACCAAAATGTAAAAGCATCGAAGAAAGCGATCATTCGATTTGATTTGATTATTTTAGTCAACATATTGGAATTTCGAAGATTAACTAATCTTTCTATGTACATTAATTTTATCAAATATTTATTTACTCTTATACCGATATTTTAGTTCATTTTCCCTTTGCGCAGCACAAAAAGCTCGATTGGTATTTTGCTTTCAAGCTGTGACATATGTGACATTTTCCCTTCGATATTGACAAAACACTAATACGCTATCTATCGCGTGCCGTCAGTCCAAAATGCAAAACCGAGTTTCCTCGTAAACCGACGCCTATTTTTTTTTTTTAAATTAAAACAGAAATACAATGATTTTCTCTTTTTTCTTTGAAGGCTAGAGAAAAATTATTTTTGCGTTGTGATATATGTGTTGGTAATACGACTGATTGGTTATTGTTGCCAGAAATCTACTCTATAAAGATAAAAAAAAAAAAAACACAACTTCAAACATGTAACTCCACTCACTATACGTCCCGTTATTTACTACTATGCATATGTGTGAAAGCGGAAAATTTAGCTGCGCCTCTAACATATACACTTTATTGTCCCGTCTCTTAAGCATATAATATTGTGATCAAGACATAATGTGAACTTTCCGTTGGAATTATGAAACATGAAATAATTTATTTATGGGTTGGTAGTTACTACTCTTCTCTCTTTGACATCTGTGCAGAGTTGTATGTTGATATTTGTTTTTTTAAACATATAGAGGTCATATCGTTCGATTTTTACTATATATGGCTCCTCGGTCAAGCAATGAATTTGCATAAAATGTTGTTTGCAGGATGAATATCGTTGCAAAGACTTCGAAGAAGGTCGACGAGAACGAGTTGAACACGAACGGTTCACGGGCTACTTACTACGAGAGTTGGTCAGGCCAAGGATATCAAAGATTTGTTGCTCGAAAATCGCCAAATGGATATAGATATGGATATATCAGTCCTGCTAACGTTTTAGACATTTTATATTGATCAACCCAAATGATTTTGAAAGATATTTTATGCCTCAAGAAAATCAAATCTCAACTGGTTCCAAAAACGTTCAACTTTTTGGAAATGTTGACATCTATAAGATAATGATTCCTGACTACCAACATATCATGGAGCACATCGTTCTGGGAGATGAAAGTTTGATCGCATTATACGATCCGAAAACAAAACCTAATCGTGCGAATATTGTGAAAAAGTTAGATCAAAGTTAGATCTCTGTTATTACCGCGATATTGCGAATTGTGAACTTCATTTGTGTATCATGCGGCGTTTGCCATCGTCTCGCGCTGTATTGGTTCTTTGCAAATATTTCGCAAAAAAACTCGACCCATATCGGTTAAAAATATCGTACACGCCTGATTTATTATCGTACGATATCTGGCTGTTTACCAAAATTGAAAACCCGACCCTGCAAGTCGGTCTCGACTCGATTGAGGAGATGAAAACTAAATCGGAGGAAATAATTAAGATCATCCGGAAAAAAATGCTTCTCTGACTGTTTCTGGGGGTCAGATAATACGATGGCATTAGTGATTTGATGAAGATTTTTTATTGATCACGATACTAGCTAGACCTTATTAAATCCTATAATAAATACACAAGATGTGCAAAGTGCAGGCTTCATTTTTTAAAGATTAGCCAATGTTGAACCGATCTGAAGGATGAAGGAATTAACTCATTTTTCGACCATAAGTTGTCCTTCATTCATCAAAATATTTCCAAACTTGCGGACTATAGGTCGAACACAAGAATAGAAGGTGGACAGACAAGATTCCAAAATTCAAAAAGTAATTCTGATGAGTTTATTTCAAGACCTTCTGAATGTTACATACATTTGCACAAACGCGAAGAACACAAGAACTACTAAAGTTTTGCGTTTACCTATTTCTACAAAAATGGGTCGTTTTGATCCGCTATTTTTGTTGACTTGAGCTAGCCGTAAAAGTTGAGATAGGAAGTTGAAACTTGACCCAAACATTCCTTGATCTATTAAGATTCCAAACAATCCTGCTACATAAATGTTCATTAAAACACCTTCCATGTTTGATTCTAAAATAGTCGCCCGATCGGCCCTCAACTATGTCTAATTTATGGCTAATTGGGTAGAAAAAATTCTAATGTGTAAAAGTAACTGTTGCCAATTCTGACCGTGTTAATAAGCCGATCTCACGGAACATGAGCATTTAGATCCCAAATTTTCAAAAATAATTTCATGTGATCGAAATTTTAACGAGAAAGGAATGAAGAAGATGTCGGACTTTTTCCGTGATTGTTTGCAGTTCCTTGCATATTGCGAAGGATCAGGACCAATTTTTAACCTCACATGCTTAATCGACCAAGTCAACATTCAGGTCGGGTCTGTGGAAAATTGAGATTGATAAAATATCGTGTGGTGCCCCATACAACTTTTAATCCGAAGCTTAAATAGTATTTCTAGTAATGAGTTGCACTGCGAATATCGCAAATTTTCGTTCAAGTTTTTGCATTCTGATCTTCAGACGTCCCGTAACACAAGTTCATTCCCACTCGAATACCAGGGCACATATATGGGAAAATGTAGTTTGATAAATCTGAATGGACGATAAATTTGGAAAGTGGCTATTACGTAACCTTCTATAATTTTGCAAATGAAAATTTATTATCTATAGTTTATAATTGCGTCTGTACCTATGTCTCGAGATCTAATACGTTATTATCGATGGGAATACATTATTGCTGCTCGCAATTGTGCCGCAAAAAACTTGTTGGCGCCTTAATAATGATTATTGTTAATTAATAAACTTAAAATACGTCAGGTCAAAAAAAAAAGAACAATAATTATAAATATTTAAAAATCCTTTTACATAAATAAAAAACAATAAAAATTTTTTAAACATTGCGTGCTTTATAACTGTACTTTTGAAGATCGAAAATGAAAAAAGGATCAAACCGAGGTACTCTCGGTAGTTGTACCGACCACAAATGCGGCAGGGTAGAAAAATTTTAAATATCGAAGATTAGAACTGGCTTTAATTCAAGCAGTACTTCATCGACAACGCCACTGTAAAGTGTCCCAAATTTTGTAAGCTAAAATTATCTCAACAGAGCTACTACCAAAATGTTGATGATTCAATCCATATAAGAAAGCTTATCTAATCGGAATTTTGAATAACGTGATCGATCCACTTATTGTGCAATGCACAAAGAGCTCTATTAACACACACTCCATATAATAATGTTAAATAAAAATAAATATAATTATAAACTTACCTGATGCAATGCTGTTAACCCGTCAACATTGGACGTATTAATATCGGCTCCCTGTTCAAGCATTTTTAAAACTTCATCCTTATCGCCCGAAAGACATGCGGCCAAGAATATACAACCTGATGAGAACTTAATACGATTACCCCGTTCAGGTCTTGGGGTTGCCGGCTGATGATTTGTATCCGATTCCTCCCATCGTTTAAGCTGTTCAGCCCGTTTCATTACAGCCGAGTTATTACGTACGTCCAGAGATGTCATCTTTGACGTTTAATAATATTATTGTCCTCTATGATGACTATATAGGGGAGGAGGGGGGGATAGCGATAGTTAATCTCCAATTTTATTCGTTAACTTCAATCTTTCAATCACGCTGGCACCGATAACGTGTATAGATAAATAATGCTGGCAGCCGAGTATATTAATTATTATATTCTTTTAATTATTTAAATTTTAATTATTATTCTCGTTTATTAAAAAAAAAGATTGATTTATTGTCTCTATTGTTTTAACTATAAATTTATCACAATTTTCGGAAGATTCGCTATTCTTTTCTATTTCAATTTTCTTGTACACATTTGTTTTCATCAAGTTTTTTTTCTTTTTTCTCTTTTTTCTCACTTTGTTAGTTGTTGTTTTTTTTTATTTATATAAAACAGCAGCAGATCCCAACGAAGGAACAGTGAAAGATGAAAAAATAAAAAAATATAAGAAAAAAAAAAAAAAAAAAAAAAAAAAAAAAAAAAAAAAAA